TCTTTTTCTTTGTATTCTTCATTCACTCTGAGTTTTTGCCTTTTAGCATTTTCTTTTGAACGGTATTCTTCTGAAACTCTGAGTTTCCGTTTGTACAGTGATCTTTTATTATATGATTTTTCTTTTGTTTCAATTTGACGTTTAGAATTTGTATTATTTTGTGCCTTACTCTGAAATAAGAACTCTTTTGTAATTGAAGGATATTCTTTCCAGTCTGAGCTAAGATGAGCAAGTGGTTTGCTCAATTGCTTTGCACTGGCACTAAATGCTTCATGTTTTGGTTTGCTTGTTTTAGCAGTGGCCGATTTATATGCTTCATGTTTGTGTATGTATGTATGTTTGTGTTTAGCTTCTTTATGTTTTTCAGTTTTGACAGTATTAATAGTGAACTGCACAGGTTTTGATGTGTATAGTTTCAGGATGAAGTTTTTAAGTGCACAGATAGAATTCAAACCCATTAGCACAGATTTGCCCTGTGGGTGTACAAGGCCATAGTCATCTCGGCTATGGGAGTCAAACCAATAGTATCTGTTATCACATTCAATTATGGCTGTTGTATATTCACAACATGTAAACAATACAGTTTGTGATTGGAGAAATGTACTATACAGGCATTGTAGAAGAACATTCTCCTCAGATAATAAGCCATAGAGCATAGAATTAGTGTTTGGAGTAAGATAGATTGCATTTCCATCATCATGATAGTCTGTAGTAGGCAATTCTTCAATATCAAAAAAGTTATGCTGATGTATATTGGAATTGTATATGTTGTCTCCTCGATGGAGAATTTTGTTCATATCAGCTTTATTCCAATAATTAGGTTTTTTTATTTGGCAATACGAAATGGCTGACCAAGCCATTGTTGTACATTGTTTTCCACGAATCAATTGAGAAAATGTTGCACCACCCTGATGATAAGATGCTTTTGCCAATAATGTTTGTCCTGGACGACCACATTGTCTACAGTCTCTCTTTTTAGGTTCCTGAAAGTAGATGAAATAATACAATACGAGATGGCATGCAAGAGTTTGTGTCCACTTTTTGCTGATTATAGCTGATCAGAGATACAGAGTGACAAAATTGCAAGCAACATCTCAGATTTTCCATGCAATGTTCTTTACTTTTAAAAGTATAATATAATATAATAAGATAATCCAGAGAAAATTTCACTAGAAACATATGAAGGCCATATGATTTTGAGAAAAAATCCACTTTTTATGAAAATACCACAGGGAAAGACAATAACAAAACTAAATGCTTGTTTTGTGGATCTCTGTACTTTTGTTAGCTGTACCCCTACCAGATCTCCCCCTGTAACGGGACTGACGTGCAGCAGGGGCTGCTGTTGGCCTTCGTCCTGCTGAAGCTGAGTATGGGGCAAACCGATTCGCCACTTCATCCCTAGCAGCCTGGTTGATCCCATTTATTACACCTCTCATCTGCTTTACAAGAGTAGCATGTCCTGCCGCTACTAAAAACAGAAAAAAAGAATTGAGTCAACAAGAAAATTGAATAATAAATGAAAAGGACGCACTGTGGATAATAAGCCGGATTTTATATTAAAGAGAGGCCATCTTGAAGATATCTCCTAAACACGGCTCCCTTGTCCCTAGGTAACAGCACATAAAAAGATCTAGTGCACCCTCCATTATGATTTCCTCATGAACAAAATGATTCTTTTTTGGGTGTAACATATAGAATAGAATGTCATATAATACTTGGAAAAATTATTAAAGTGCTTGGACACAAATATGCTGAGATAGGGGTCATTTGGTCAGCAAGGTTGTATTGGACCTACATGGTCCACCGTTGACTTAACATGGGGATATCATCATATCCCAATAAAGGCCATTGGTTTTCATTGATAATCACAAAAATACGAAACAAGACACAGGGTGAACAGAATCGCACCCTTGAATAGAATACAGTTCTTGGGACGGAACATCCAAAATGGCCACCCTAACATTTACCCAGACTGCCCAAAAACTAAAATTTTAAAATGAATCCATGAAATCTGTAAACAAGCCTCGAGAGACATGTTTTAAGGACGTAAAATCCAAAATGGCCGCCTTAACATTTAGTCAACTTGTACTTGAATTATCAACAATTAGATTTTTTAACAAAAAATGGCTGCCATTTTGAAATTCAACAGCCATCTTGAAAATGACTTCTTCAGCAAAGCTAAGCTCATTTGTCATTGGGCATCAGCATATAAAATTTGAACCGCAGAAGACAGAAGAAGGAACTGGAGGATGGACGAACAAACAAACAGACAGACAAAAATCGCTCTATTACTTTTTGAGTTATAGTAAAAAACATAAAATAACACACGTAAAAATGGCTTCCATTTTCAAAATGGCCACCATCTAGCCAAAGTGTCATAAAACAGTGTGCCATGCTAGTGAGTATTCACATATCAAATATGAACAAAACAAAGTTCGGTGAGATAATTAACCTTAAGTATTAATATATTTTTTCACTGTATTGAACTTAATATGTCTACCTGCAACAAATGGCTCATCACCCGCACAAATGACAACATCTCCATCTCGTATCACGTCCAGTTCTGCTATACTAACTCCATCACTGCTATAAAGGTTAGTGACAGCTACGCCAGTGAACGTTGAGGCCTTTCTGCACAGTTCTAGGGATGGTCACTAACTGAAAAGATATTCAAAATATTTAAGCCTGAGTGAAATATGAGAAAAATTTAACAAGGAAGACTCATTATTAATTTTCTAAAATATAACCAGAAGAGAATTGCTGTAATCTGTAGGAAAACTGAAAGAGGCAAAAATCTTCATCTTCAAGTTTAGTACTAACTTATTTCTGAGCACAAAGGGAGGTAACGATTAGCGTTAATAGTCAAACTAGACAACAGCAACCCCAAAGCCTAGCATATCCCATCGAACAGCCATGGCTGCCATTTTTACAAAATCCTTCTACTACTTTTTCAGTTCTAGCAAATATTCAAAATTCACCATTATTAAATCGGCACTCACGAGCCAAGATTATATGTATTTGTAACGAGGTTATTTTATTTTTAAACTTTACGAATATATTCGTATAATGAACCATATGAATAACGAATAATGAGGCAATTATGACCTATAGTTTTGTTGTTGGTTAGGTAACATGTTCATGACGTCACATACAAATATGGAATCAACAGTGATGTGACATACTGATGTTGAAATTATTTGTTTGTTTAGTTACTGATGGGGCAATATGTGACTGATGTCATAGTTTATGTGATATGTCATATCTTCGAATCACATCATATGACGAATTGGTAGTTGTCTTGACAACTTGCCATATAAGCTAATACAAGGTGAGGCTTACAGAACCGGAAGTCACATGATGAATGGTTCAAACCTGTTCCATAGTACAAAGCGCCCCGCCCACTTCGTGGGGCCTTTGTAAAAAGATCCATGACATTTTGTGAAATAGTGAAACAGAATGATGCTTTACTACAAGTATGTGATAATATAACAACGTACACTTGACTTGGAATTTCTATTTGATGAGGTAACGCCCTGGATGTGTGCTCCCGATGAGGTAGTGCCTTGCATGGGTGTTTCGGATGAGGTAGGGGCCTGGACAGACATTCCTGAGGTGATGTTGTGAGCTCTGTTCTCACCAGTCCTTTGGAAATTGGAGAGGTTAAGCTAACAGTACTTTTGACAACGTAAACCTGAACGCAAAGCTTTCCGTTCGCGGTCGCGTGTTAAATAAGAGGTTCACTTGTTAGGCGCATTTTTCGTGAACGTGAAACGCAACGTAAAAATGAAATTAAGTCAATCTCACCTCAGCATTTCACCTTGGATTGGTTAAATATATGTGGTCATAAAACATTTTGGTTAATTTGGCAGACATCCAGTTACAATCCTGGTGTATGTTTGTTTCCAAGTTCAATTTATGAGATTGGGATACGCGAAAGAACCAGCATAGTGAGCATATACATCATGTCTTCATTGAGTGATGTTTTGTAAGTAAGGTTCACAAGATATCAGAAATTAAAACGAAGATTATTTTCTATTCTTGTTATTTTCTATATGATTTTAGACATTTGTCCTTAAAAATGTTGTAATTTGTTTCTTGAAGGTAAAAGTAGGAGTCTGTTGCCTATACAGGTATTATGTTTACGTTTAGAATTACGATACTTTAGCATGTACATAGATTGATACGGTAACGAATTGCGTGCGCATAAAATTGCATAAGTTTGTATGACTTTATACCAGTTCAGGGTGAATTGAACGTGAAATATCAAATTACACTTTGGTCCCTACGGGAACAGTTTACAATTGTTTTATGAATACTATGTTTTTGGTTTCTATGCAAAGTAGAATATGTTATGAAGGTGGTTATGTATATTAGACATGATTTAGGTTAATGTGCGTTACTAAACAAGATCGTTTGAAAGATGTTTGTAACAGAACAAAATACATACTTCAAAATGGCGTCCCATAAACTGCGTTGTATTTATTTACATTGCCACTTTGTAATCCAAATATATGCTGTCTTTCGGAGGATTTACCTTACATTTAATATATTAAAAATCACATTATGTTCGCTTCATTTCAGAATTTGAAAATATACATGTACTAAAGCTCAATTTAACTACACACAATCACCTAGTATGATGTTCTCGGGATGATGTCCTTACAGTCCCGTAACCAGGGGTTAGTCCATTTGTCACCCCTATACATACTATAGTGAACCTATGAATTGTTAAAAACACGATGTTTTATGGGTTATTTATAATAACAAGGGTTTTCTGAAGTGATTTAACTGGGTTGGACAAAAAGTTAGTTTGGGGGAAAAAGTATATTGGCTAATTAGGGAGGGGTGCATTGGCTTAACATGCGTTGACTATTGACTTAGCGTCGGGATACCACCATGTACCTGGTATGTTACCATGGTGATAGATACAAACAATTTCCCCAACGTTACTTTTTGGGCAACCCAGCTAAATCACTCCAATAAACCCTAACGATAGTATTTGCACAGAAAAACATCATGTTTTTAAATAGTCATACGTTAAGAAAATGACAAATGGACTAGTAGGGGAAGGGAGCACCCCCTGATATCTCCTGAAAAATGTGGATCTACCTTTTTTGCTTTCTTGAAGGAAAACTTGCTCTTTCCCACATAAACTTGGCGATTTAAATTAAAAACTGGCATAATTGTTATTTTTATTTTAATTTTGGCATTATCCTTCAAAATTTGAGGCCATTTTGTGTCCCTTCCCCTCAGGTTTTTCAGGATCGCCTTTTGTGTTTTGTTCTGACCCAGGCCTGACCTTCAGGCCATTCCCCTGTAGCCAACACCTCCCTGAGGAGAACGATATCATCAGTTACTTTAAAGCGTAGTACCATTCTGTAAAATTACAAAATAAGTTTAAAATGATGTGTTTAATTGTCATACACATAGCTATAATTACAATTTGAAAAATACAATCACTCGTGTATTTTCTCATAAGGATATTTTCTCACCATTGTGTACATTTGTCAGTAAATACTTCCACCGATATACATATTCAGCAGTACAATCTCTCACCAGCTATTATTAGAAGTTCTTGTTCAACAATTTCCTCTGGTTCATCCACATTATTCTCTTGTCCTATATCTTGATCTTGAAAGGGGAGCATACAGACCTGCTGAGGAGGATTGAAGTATGACTGAATAGGAAGTGTCCCAGGATTTACTTGGTGGAATGACCTCTCACACTCTTTTGCCTAACAGGTGCACCAACTTTAGTCACCCATTGTTGCATGTTGTTGATTTCATCAGGGCTTAAATTTTGCCTTCTCATCAGTAGGAAGGGGCAATTTTGGCAACATGTTGAAAGCAACAAGACCTACTGGCTGTTCATAGTAGGAGTCTTTTCGAGATGTGTTGTATAGATATCCACATTCAGTTGACTTTTTCAAGAATTCATCAACGGCAGATGAAAATGTTCTGGCTAGCTGCAGCATATCTGGCATATCATATATTTGCCGTAAACGATGGTGAAAATGTTCATTTATCAGGCTTGTCAGGGGTTTAGAGTCTATGTTAGGCAAGATGTTTGGATTTAGTTCTCCAATTGTGGCTATAAATTCACTAAGTGCCAACACATTGGTTTCTATGGTCTTAATGGTCTTTTCTGCTGGAACACCATCTGGTCCTTGGAGTAATCTGGTAGGTGACAGCGGATGAGCTGTCCTACAATCCTCTACCATTTTGCGGAAAAACACTGCAACTTCCTGTAACAGAGTGTATGCACGTTCAACATTCATGGCAGGTGAATGAACTCCAAAACATCTGTAAATATCTCCTAAGTTCTGTAGGTAATGGATGTAACCTGTCAATGGGCTAATCAATTTTACAGCTCCACATCCAGAGTCTGTCAAAATGATTGAGTTGCCGATAAGGCATACTCCTGTTTGCTGAACGTGGCAGGAAGTCTCTTCACAACCATCGCTAGGGTAATCACATGGCCATGAACCAGTTATTCTCTCTGATACTCCATCAGCATATTTCTTAACCATGCATTTGGCAACATCAGTATAAATGATGTCTGTATCCTGTATGGCCACACTATATATTCTGCCACATCTGTTGCTGTTATTCTTTAAAAGTACATTCACATCTGATGTAGGCCAAAAGACTCTCACAAGCCCGCCAGTCTCGATGTTACTATCAGCTATGTAAATGTTATTTTCTTTGAGGGTCAACCCAGTGGGATTTTGTAGATTCAGTTGCAGAGATCTAGTGAGATTGAGTTGCAATTTTACTCCATTTGAAACGGCTCTAAATTCCTTTATACACCCAATGCAAGTGGTATAAAGAGTGGAGAAGTTGTCCATGTTTCCATGATTCCCATATCCTGCTACGCAATTGACATCACCAACTTCTGCAACTAGATGTAGGGTGCGCTGTCTATACTCATTCACATCATGTTCATGTTGCCATTTGACCAATGCCTTCTTCATAGGTGGAACTGTGTGTGGAACTGCTAAATTTCTCAATTCAAGTTGTTGTACAAGTTCAGCATGTTTTAGTTTAGAGATCGCTAAAATTGATGATTTCTCTATGTCTTCATAGTAGAGCTTTTGGTCATCTATGACATACAGCACAACAGCAACATAAGTGATAAATGAGGGATTTGAGAGGTTGATGTGGTGTGATTCAACAACAACCGGGTACTGTGGAATAGCTTTTAGAATGGATTTCTTCTGGACATCCGCAATATACAGCACACCTGGGAGTCCTGGGCATACTGAGATTGGGTGGACAAGGGTTTCAATCTTGTTGGTATCTGACATCTTTTATCTCTCAGGTATCAATGTTTGCGAAACAAACTGTACCTTAGTGAGAGTTTCAATGACATTCCTCGATGTCATAGTTGAAACCGATGTCATGTCCATTCTATCCCTATTGCGCAGGTGTCGAAGTGGAATATTTTTCTGGAGTGATGTTTTTATTTCTGTTCTCCCATAGTCATGTAAGGTTCTGAGGAATACTTGGGAAAACAAAGTATTTTCACAAGTGAGGTAGTAATTTGAGTGTGATTGTTTTATATTTTTTCCTTGATGGGGGGATCTGTCATGAAGCTGGTGGTGACATCTGGGTCTTCCGTCAATATCTCATTGGATTTCCTGTTCTTTTCCTCAGCATCTTTAACTGATGTTAGGATACATACGCGCACACACTTGGTATTGGTTGTAATACACATATCGCAGCGTCTTAAATCAGGGCGGTGATGTGTCTGACCATCATACAGGCACCGTTCACAAACATAACTTCCGGCTGTACATTCTGAAAGGCACAATAATATCCTCTCCATCTTAATCATGAAATATAAAAAATGTACTGGGCTCACATGGTGTTGCTCAAAAGTAAATAATGGCTAAAATGACAAAAATAAAAAAACGGCCAAAAGTGAATTTCCTGAGACAAAAATGATGGCCATTTTGAAAATAGGCAAGCTTTTGAAGCAGGAGTCACAGTTTTTTTTTCTTTATTGATGTTGAACAAAAATATTTTAAAATGGTAATCCTAGCTACAGATAAGGGGTCCCGCTATTCATCGATATATCGATGCATCGGCTCGTTTGGTGACGATACGAGCGTATCGATACAAAGACTCAAATATCGATACACCAAAAATATTATTAACATACCTGAAGTCCATCATATTTTGCTGAAATCTACTGAATATTTGACTTTTTTGAGAAATTGTTCTTATATTTTCACAGTCAAAATGCGAACAAATAACTCGTGTCTTGAAGACACTGTCTTCTATGTCTTCGTATATCAACATACTTTGTTTTATAATTATTCTATATACTTTTTGACAATTTAGTATGAATAAATATAATCTTTGAACTTTTTATTCGATAGAACGCCGCGTTAAAAAATTGCCTACTAATATTGATAACTCTAATAAAAAAACGAACAATATTTACGTTCGGAGTATTAATGTTGACCGGAGTTTAGAAATTGAAAATTTTTGAAATTTTTGAAAACAATTGATAGAATTATGGCCGTGTAAATATTTTATGCTGCATCTTAATCAAATGTCACAGCAAATGATAGACTTTCAACTCGACCTCAGCTACGTCAGTTTTGCACCCCCCCCCCCAAATCAATGTTAACTAAAATGGCTGAAAATAAAAAAACGGATATGATTTTTTGCTGATTTTTTGTAACAAAATTATTTCATACAACTTCTCTTTACAGTGTCTAGTTTTTTTTACAATGCAGATCACCTGAAATTATTTGTAAAGCTAGGAAACGGGAATCCTATGGACAGTTGTTAAAGGCAAATGGTCCAAGAGTGGATTTTGCAAGACAGACGGACAAATCAACATTAACTAAAATGGCTGAAATTAAAAAAATTGATATAATTTTTTTGCCGGTTTTTTGTAACAAAATTATTTCATACAAATGCTCTTTACATTGACATGGATTTTTACGATGCAGGACACCTGAAATTATTTGTGAAGCTAGGAAATAGCTCAAAAGTGAATTTTGCGAGACAAAATGGCGGCAATTTTGAAGTAGGCTAGCTTTTGAACCAGGAGTCATAGGGGAGTTTTCCGTATTGATGTTGAACAGAAATAACTTAAAACAAGAATCCTATCGACAGAGGTTTTAAAATGTGCCACTATTGTTGATGGACGGACGGACGCACGCACGCACGCACAGACAGACAGACGGATAGGTGAGTGATTGCAAAAGCTCAACATGTGAGCTAACAAGTTTGTCATTTCCAGGCACACAATTTTTAAGTGGTTATGCTGCAAAAACTGCCAGAACTTTAAGTTAATGATTGTTTGATGGCAACATGGTGTCATATGGTTGATATAGCGTTTATTATAGAATAAAATTAGAACTAAATAATAATGTATTTAAGTGTGTGGTCCTGAGAAAACAGTATTCTATAGTGATCACTTGTCAAATCTTTGATTAAGATCAAGCCACCGAAGCTCACTGATAGACCAATCAAACTGTTGCCACCTTTCACTTACCTTGACATTCAGTTGTTATGCATACATTTTGAAGAATAACTCCTTCTTGTATACAACTGGCACATTGGTGTAGTGTATAAATTGTTTCTTCAGTTTCATTGGCAGTTTCTTGTGCTGAATGACCACGCCCATGGTAATTTTGGCTAATTGGTAACCCAAGCATTCCATCTATTGTTTCTAAACAAGTGCTATTATTTTCAGTTATGTACTTGTTTTTCAGTATTATAGGGTCAATATTTTCATGGACAATTGTGTAATCCTTGTCTATGCTATCAGTTGTACCAACAACATGTTTTGTCCTTTTGTCCAATACCAAGCCAGGTTTAAATGAGAATCCATCAGTAGAAACAACACAGCCAATAACTTTCAACTGGTCCTCATCAATAATTCCAGAATTGGTTATTCTGGGATCAGAATCAGCAATTTTCAAGAAAGCAGATAAGTATGGGACGATAACTCCATTTTCAGTTGTGTAACCACTTTGAGGAAGAGATGTAACGCTAGGCAGTGGGAAATTGAAATTGTTCCAGTTGAACACATATGTTCCTCCTCTTCCTTGACCCTGATAGCCGATTCCTCTAAGGAAATTATATGTCTGGAAATACACCAAGATTTTAATGAATAAAAAATAATAGATAATCCATATTATTTTAACATACAGATTTGAAAACTTTGTATACAGAATTTACATTTTTATAGTAATATGCTTTCTACAGACTTGCCAACCTAAAATGAAAATTTTTCGGGAGACTTAAAAAAAATTGCGGTACTTTTACGGGAGTTTTTTTCAAAATCCGGTAGTTTTTTGAAAAAAAGCGGGAGTTTTTACGGGAGATTTTTCGAAAAAACGGTAGTTTTTACGGGAGATTTAAAAAAATTGGAGTTTTTGCGGTAAATTTTGAAAAAAAACAGGTTTTTAGGGGAGATTTTGATAAAACTGGAGTTTTTACGGGAGATTTTTTAAAAAGGGTATTTTTCGCGGTAAATTAACCTTAGATATCTGAAAAATGGGAGTTTTTACAGTAGATTCTGAAAAAACGGGAGTTTTTACGGTAGATTTCTGAAAAAACTGGAGTTTTTACGGTAGATTTCGGCAAAAACTGGAGTTTTTGCTGTAAAATTATGAAAAACGAGTGTTTTTACGGTAGATTTTGAAAAAACATGAGTTTTTACGGTAGATTTCTGAAAAACAGGAGTTTTTACTTTAGATTTTGAAAAAACTGGAGTTTTTACTTTAGATTTTGAAAAAACGGGAGTTTTTACAGTAGATTTTGAAAGAACGGGATTTTTACTGTAGATTTCGGAAAAACGGGAGATCTTACGGTAGGTTTCTGAAAAAACGGGTGTTTTTACGGTAGATTTTGAAAAAAATGTGAGTTTTTACAGTAGATTTCTGAAAAAACGGTAGAAACGAATTGATCAAAGCTAAGTAAAATGTATATGTGGCATTCACTATTATGCTAAGGGCAATCTGCATGAGGTTCCATTTTTAGGTTCGGTTTTTTTGCGCATGAGCATTAAATCCAGCGATTTAATTGGTTGAAATTATTATGACGCATGCGCAGTTAATAAATAAATTAGAACTTATAATCTAAGATAGATGTCACTTACGTTCATTATTTCACAGCAGTCCCTACCCAAAATGCGCCTTATATTGCGGGAATATTTTGTTTAGCGCCATATAAAAACAAAATGTATTCTCCCGACAGAAGTATGACAGAATATGAACTGGCCCCCGTTTGTGGACATTTGGTGTGCAAACTTATACCGAACTGATCGCAGAAAAGCAATTTGAATCCGATGGGAATGAAGTACTTCTAAGTTATTTATGAAAGTATTGATAGTGAACCATGGGAGCCAATCCTTCTTGGAGTAAAAGAAAGAAGCGTGCCTGCAAATTTGTCAAATTCCTTTTAAATACGGTAGATTTCGACAACAAAAAACGGAGATTTTACGGGAGTTATACCAAGAATACGGGAGATTTTACGTGAGCTATACTAGAAAACGGGAGATTTTACAGGAGTTATACCAAGAATACGGGAGATTTTACGGGAGATTTTACGGGAGTTAAACCAGAATACGGGAGATTTTACGGGAGATTTCAGCAAAAATATGGGAGATTTTACAGCCATATTTTTAAAAAAAATTACGGGAGATTTTAGTAGAAATACGGTACGGGAGTTTTTACGGGAGAAAACGGTACGGGAGTTTTTACGGGAGAAAACGGTACGGGAGTTTGGTATTTTTTACGGAAAAACCAAAAATTTACAGGAGATTCCCGTAAAAAAACGGGAGGTTGGCAAGTCTGTTCTATATAGTAGCTATGATACATAATGCCAATATTGTAAGACTGATAGGTTTTTTATTTCCCTTTATCTGATATGGCCAAAATGATGTATCTTTCATGTTAATTATGAAAATAATTGAGCAAAATTTTAATTATTTAGTGAGAATGTTTTTTCAAATGTATCCATATATGTGTAGTTAACACCTAATTTCAAGAGTATGACCCACTAAAATTTAAAAAATACAAACAAGAGAACTATTTTGATGTTGACTGTATATTATGTGTGAAACACATTATTCACAACAGATTTAATTACCATGTTCTTTCTTGGCAATATATTTTTTATAATAATGCTCAACACAACAATACCTACTACATATTAATATTCTCATGGGTTTAGGCAAATCAAAATGCTTGAACAGCCAATTAAAACGGTTGAACAGTTAATTAAAACGGTTGAACAGCTAATTAAAACGGTTGAACGGCTAATTAAAAGGCTTGACCAGAAATAGGGTTCATAGTCCTAGTTTCTGTTATATTTATTTTCAGCTTGTGTTATACGATATATTTATTTATATTCTCTATTTCATGCAGAGGGGGGGGGGGGGTTAAAAATTTATAAAGTGTTTTCAGATTTTTGAGGGTTTATTTCTTTATTCAATTGCTTCAATAAGAAGAATAAATAGCAAGTATATGAAACTGAAAATAATATTTTTTGTATTTCATTTTTATCTATTTAGTTTCACCATGGGCATTCAAAGATTGAAAATCCATGCTTTTACTGAATTCACTAGGGCAGGGCATTTGTACTGAAAGGACGGTGTTTTCAGTTTAAATAATATGTGTCAATTGAAAAATAAAAAACGGGGCTTATTTTTCAAAACTCTAAACTTGATAAAAATCTGGAGGAAATTAAGGGAGATTTTTGTTTTTTGTTTATGGATTAAGTTATTGCTCTTTGGCAAATTATAATTTATCAAGTTCTGTGTTTGGAATAATTAAATTACATAGAATACTTCCTTTATAGCAGACTCTAATCAAACTGAGAGTTACTCTGTAATAAGGTTTGTTTTGCCTTGCCAAATTATTTTTGTTTTGTTTATGGATTAATGGATTAATAACCTTTCTTTAGACACATCCTTCAAAGCAGACTCTAATCAAACTAGAGAGACTGAGTCTTACTCTAATCAAACTAGAGAGACTGAGTCTTACTCTAATCAGAGTTTTTAAAGTATGCTTATCAACTTAATTATTTAAAACACATTCTGTAATGTCTGATTGCATTTTCAAATCAAAAATATCAAATCAATAATCAGATTATTTTCTAATTGAAGGATTTCTTCCTTCAGACACATTTTCCTTCCTTTATAATTGTGATAATTACAAGGTGAAGTATAAGTGTCTGAATTTGTAAAATTCAAGACTTGACCCAATCAAAATTATTTCAAATGTTCTTGCAATAACTTAACAAGTAGTGAAGTGATTTTGTAAAAATGATAGTCATGGCAGCAAGGGGATTTGCTATGCCTTAGCATTGCTGTTATCTAGATAATATACATGTGAGTGAGACAATCACCATCCTTCAAGGTTAGATGGAAATTGGTTCAATATATTTTCATTCACAAGACAAGTTTACTAAACTATTTCAATACTTTAAATATCTTTTTGATCAAACCATTTAAATTCTGACATGTATGCATGAAATACATACATTTAAAAATATATTTTAAAGAGCAATATTATTATTTTGTGTTGTATTGAGATAATATTGCCATAGTTTTAAAGGGTTGCATTTGATTGAAACGGTTGCAAGAAATGCAATCAAAATTGTCAAGCGTTGCATTTGATTGAAACGGTTGCAAGAAATGCAATCAAAATTGTCAAGCGTTTACAATGGTTACATATGATTGAAACATTTTCAATGAGTTAACAACCAAAATTGTAATGGTTGCATTGTAACCGTTGGCATGGTTGCACAAATGATTGGATCAATTATTGTGCAATGATTGTGCGACGGTTTAAATTCGGACTTTCAAAGTTGAATTTTTTATAAGGGTGGGCTAGAAGAGTGACCTTATATCTGCTTTTCAATGCACAATTTTATTCATTCTAAGGGTAATTTTAGGCAATTCATCAGGCTGTTTTTAATCCAAACAGAACATAGATTTTAGCTACAGTTCATGCCTTACAAAAGTTGATTTACAAGGAAAGCAGTTAAATATTTAGAGTGTCCATCAACTGACTATATTTATTTTTTGTTGTTTTGTTCTGATTCCTCAAAAGGATCCAAGTGATCACCTTTTGCATGAATCTAATCCACCTTTTAATCTTTACCTTATTTTAAAAGCTTTCTTCAATCCAACGGTCGGTTTAAAGGGACCCAACACCTTACAAAACTTCTTAACGGAGAGGAATAAGGGAAAATGCATTCCGAATTCTGAATCTGTGTATTTTTTAATGATTTTTCACAGTCTTAGAATTTCAATTTTTTTCCTTTGAAAAAATGAGATTTGCATTGTTTTCCAATTAGAAAAATGAGTAAACATGAATAGCTCGAAATCTAACGGTGAGATTTTGTTTTAAAAAATCATGGATATCAAGGCTAAATATAGCTATACAATAAACATAAAAAAGCAATGCTTGGACTCTTCATATTCACACAAAACAGTGGGATTTTGTTTTAAAAAATCATGGATATCAAGGCTAAATATAGCTATACATAAACATAAAAAAGCAATGCTTGGACTCTTCATATTCACAAAAAAAATTAATTAGTAAATGAGGTTTGAAATTTGTGAGAATAAGTTGTACAAGGTGCAATGCTTTACAAACACCAGACTACAGGGTGGATTAGGATCAATGACACACATAAAAATTAATTTAAAAATATTTCATTTTTGTTATAAAGATGACCCATAGCTTTACTATTGACTTGCCACAGTCAACGTTGAGCGAGCACATTGGGCAACATCAGAAAAACCCAAAATACAGAATAATATTCTATGATGTTAATATGGTATGTATATGTAAGCCACATCTAATACAATTTTAAAGCAATATTTTATTTTGCTGAGGGATATTAATCTTTTTATTCCATTATAACAGTTTTCCAGGGGATTAACAGTAAAATATAAAAGCTATTGAAAATCCCATATCAGATCCCATATCAGAAAAATCACTTATTGAATCCTGTATCTGATTCCATATCAGCCAGAAATCTGAGCTAGATTTGCATCACCATTTCAGAATTTAATTTTTTTAGAATTTCTACAAAAAAAGAAATTTTTGTTTCGGACAATACTACATCACGCAATCTTTTTTTATAAAGATATTT